GTAATACTGTTTTCCTAATCGAAACTATGTTAGAAGATAACTTTGATTACCTCACCGTAACTTTCTATCTATATAGAAAGCATATGACGGATTTAAAAAATCAAAAGAGTAATATTTTCCTAACAGAGATTAGATTATGTTTGGAAATTCCTTTGTTTACCTCAACGTACCTTTCTGTTATGTTTTTGACTGTACAGGTCCACAGAAGGGAAGAAACATACCAACCGCTGAAGCACAGTAACACAGTGACGCATGGTCAAGTCACATAATAGTCACGGGGTCATGTAATCGAATAGACAATAACCTTGTTAACATAAATCAATACATATGTTAACATATACCAACAACAAATAAAAACCCATAGTTTTGAAGCACAGCAGCATAGTGTAGTATGCACAAGTCACGTGATGGTCACGGGGTCATTGTATGTAAACAGGTACACGTGGGAATGAAAACTTTTACAACATCTACACATGACAAATTTTAAAATCAAAACATTAATATTCTCCTAACAGAGGCTAGTCTATGCTTATAAATAGATATATTTACCTCAGCGTACCTTTCTGTTATTGACTGTACAAGTCCACAGAGAAGAAGAAACATCCAAAGTGTTGAAGCGCAGCAACACAGTGGCGCATGCTCAAGTCACGTGATGGTCACGGGGTCATTGTTTGTAAACATTTACACGTGGGAATGAAAACTTTTACAAGATCCACATATGACAAATTTTAAAATCAAAACATTAATATTCTCCTAACAGAGGCTAGTCTATGTTTATAAATAGATATATTTACCTCAGCGTACCTTTCTGTCGTTGACTGTACAAGTCCACAGAGAAGAAGAAACATCCAAAGTGTTGAAGCGCAGCAACACAGTGACGCATGCTCAAGTCACGTGATGGTCACGGGGTCATTGTTTGTAAACATTTACACGTGGGAATGAAAACTTTTACAAGATCCACATATGACAAATTTTAAAATCAAAACATTAATATTCTCCTAACAGAGGCTAGTCTATGTTTATAAATAGATATATTTACCTCAGCGTACCTTTCTGTCGTTGACTGTACAAGTCCACAGAGAGAAGAAACATCAAAGTGTTGAAGCGCAGCAACACAGTGGCGCATGCTCAAGTCACGTGATGGTCAAGGGTCATTGTTTGTAAACATTTACACGTGGGAATGAAAGCATTTTAAAAGACCTGCATATGACAAGTTTTAAAAATCAAAACATTAATATTCTCCTTATAGAGGATAGTCTATGATTATAAATAAATTTGTTTACCTCAACGTATCTTTCTATCGTGTTTATGATCAATACATATCCATGGATAGGAGAAAGAAAAAGTCCGTATTGCTAAAGTCACGGGTGCACAAGTCACGTGATAGCCACGGGGTGATATAATCAAGCGGACAATAGCTTTGTTGGCATATATAAAGCAATCCAAAAATAGGGTGCCGAACGTACACATGTCATAGTAGTGATCGAAAATGGAACATTTCTCGAAATACCTGGTGATTTGAGAGTTGCACTCAACATATGACAATTTTTAGAATAAAAGGAAAAGAATAGTATGATATAACAATATATATTATTTTCCTAACAGAGACAAGATTATGTTTGGAAATTGCTTTGTTTACATCAACGTACCTTTCTGCCATATTTTTGACTTTACAAGTCCACAGAAAAGGAGAAACATCCGAAGTGTTGAAGCACAGCAAATTAGTGACGCAAGCATAAGTCACGTGATAATCACGGGGTTATTGCTTGTAAACAGATGCACGTGCAAATGAAAACGATCACAAGATCGCAAGAGGGCCGTTGTATTTCCTTCAATCAAGGGGTGTAGGCCACTAGATCTTCATAGAGTCATCCAGTCCGATATCTTTCCAAGTGGAAAACATATCTCGTCGATATTGTAGGGTGATGTCCACTCCTTTCTCGAGGATCCTTGTTTGAACTTGGTGTTGCTCGAAGCTCATATCCCTTCGCAGCAAGATGCGAGCGCCTCTTCTTCAGCATGACCGGGAGGTCGGTCCGGATGGATATTCTCTGCTCCCGCATAATCTTCCAATTCTTGACAGAAGCTTGATGTACATCATTTCGGTCTTGCATTTGCACGAACTTCACCACTATAGGTTAGGGGAGTCCTTAGTGCGTTCCCAATTACCAAGTCGGGGTAGACGGTGGATGTTGACAAACATCATCTCTCGTGCACGGGGTAGCCCTAGTTGTGTAAACAACTCACGTGTTGCAGTCTCCGGGTCCTTGTCGTCTGGAATACCGTAGATAAGTAAATTGGATTTCCGCTGATATAGCTCCTGCTGTTGAAATCTTCGCTCCATTTCGGTCCGGTAATCTGTGAAGTCCTGTCTCAGTTTGTGTATGTCGGCCTTGTTGTTGTTTATTTCCTGTGCGTTGTATTCGACTGTTTTTAGAGTCTCGTCTAGAGAGGCACGTAGTTCTGTAATGTCCGTACTGATGTGGTCAATCTTGGCCGAAATGTCACTGCTATACTTCTTCAGACACTGGTCCATGTAAGCTTTCATATCGTTGAAAGTTTCAACTGTAATGGCGGCGTCCCCTGATTTCGTTGTTGTTTTAGGATCGTTGAAGTTTTCAGTCGCCGCAGCCTTGGACCTTGTAATATATTCATCTAATAATCCGGATGAGGTTGATTGGCTTTCTGTGTCTTTCTGGTGTCTATTTCGGCCTTTATTTGTCGACATTTTAGTTAGATTTTGGCGGATTTAGGGAGAGCGATTTTTTTCAGTGTCCTACATCCATGGACAGGTAACCGGGCAAAAGGTACCATGTTGTACATTGTTTCAACGAGTGTGTTTTGGTTCAGATTGTCATGAGTGAATTTGATAACATTAGAATCCAGGGTTTCAGATTGTCATCGGCCTTCGGTCATAGTCCGATAACATTTTCAAATGACCGACTACTTTCTTACTAATTAGGACACTCGGGCCGAACGATAATTTCGATGTTATTTTCACATATTGGACCTAACAAATTATGAACATTATCATTTACAAATTCATCCAAAACTAACCACGAAACCTTGATCATGTTTCCGCAGCGTGTTTGTATTTACGCATCCATTTTTATCACACTAAGCTACCAAATGTACAAGTAATGTATTGCGCGATTGGCTGCTATTTTAAGCATTGGACAATCAGAAACGGGGTTTCCCGACCCCACCCGCATGTAACAATGTTTCAAGGAAATCATTAAATAATTTGAATAAACTAATGAATAAAATCAACAATAGCATTCATAAAAGTTGTCAAACGTACATATAAAATTACTATTTCCATCTTTTTGTGCGATCATGTAATGCAAGTCAAGTCACTGACAAGTGACATCTCGGCTTTGGCCGCCTCAATCTTCACGCTTGGACACGATGTTTAAAGCGAAAATATATGCATGAAGCATTTTTGTCACAGGTCATAACCTAGCACGATACGTCCAATAAGTTCCATAATTTACGTATAGATAGCGATTTCGTGCTTAATATGTTCCGAATAACATTATTTTACCCAAAACTTTCGTCAAAATATAAATGTTTTCGTTTAAGAGGGCGGTATCCATTGCCGTAATATGATTGGCTGTCTCATGTCACGTGTCTGATTTTGGCCAATCACGACCCTTATAGCAGACTGTGGCGAAACAGCGTCATTAGAAACCAATCTTTATCCAATAAAATCGCTTCTTACAACTGTGAAAATACTCTCAGCAAGGGTATAGTGGAATAGTGATATTGTTGATGTTCAGAGCTTTCAAAAGGTACCCGCCATCAAACGATTCGCCTCGTATGTTATTCATACGAAGCTTCGAAAACGGAGGTATTTTCCGTTGTTGTGTCATGTTACCGAGCGGAAAGCCACTGATATCGGGAAATAGGCGACCATACATATTATTTAAGAAATCTTTATATAATAATTTTCTGATCACGTAAAAATGAAAATATAAAAGAAAAAGGCACGGGGATGTTATGACATGTCACAAATGGAAAGAAATCGCCATAGTTTTTCCTTCTTTTGTGATATTTCTGGACATTATAAATGCTTTCATTTTAATTAAAAAATCAATTTATTTAAGTTGTATTATTTGAAAAATATTAGAAAAATATATTTATTTATCAACAGTGGGATTAGATCTTTTAATTTTGCTGTATATCTAGAATCCAAGTAGCAACATTAAATGTCATTAACAATTTAGTTATATGAAGGCATTGGGATTTAAAAAATGTCAAAAAGCGCTTTAGGTCAATGGCCTATCGCCAAACACCCACTCAGGACATTTGTCCTACTGATTTTTATAGGCTTCAAAATCACTGGATTCAATCACATAGTATCTCGGAGCTGGAAGTGAGTCTCCATCATGTGTATCAGTGAAAAATGTCATCTTCATCAATGCATCAAAGAAACAACAAGGCAAATTGATCTCTCGACAGGCACTGACGTTATCGTGTCAGGTATTTTTGCAAGACGACACATGACACTTGTCGCATCTCTCCAGTAAAAGTACCAGTGTTGTACATTTTGAATATTCGAAGGGAATCAAGGGCTTTATGTCTAACGGTGATTTTCACATAATTGTTTACACAGGTATCACAGATTGTTGGAGCCATTTTGAATTCATGACTAGAAATCAGAGTTTTAATAAAAGGAATTAGAAAATAAATATATTTGTGTTATATTTATTCTACTTGTGACTCATTGTATAAATACCTGTTTATGTTGCAATCGCGAAAATAACAGGTAGGTGTAAAGGGGTATTTTTTTGCACGAGTAAAAGGTTTCTGTTCGATTGAAGCACGAGTAACTTATCAATGAATTTTAATCAGGAAAGTAGTCCGTCATACCCTGACCCTAGGCCATCACCATGGAGTAGCCAATCACGGGATTAGAAATCGATCTCACACATATGTGTGATACCAGTTTTCTCACATGGGTTTCTCACCCACGGGTGTGTAAGAAAACGATAACACACATCGTGTCACACATGGTGAGGTGCAGCGTTACAACAGGTAATGGAGTGTGTTACAGTGTGTTACAACGTATGACTTGAAGCCACTGCGCCGAACAGAGAGGGCCATTCCCCTGCCAGGATGCGTCTCAGTGAGTGTTGCGAGATTAACATGTGATCTAAAACATGATTATGATAATTCCATAGAACCGTACATCGGAGACTTTACATTATTATAGAAAATGGTTTTCTTCTTTTCATTGAAAACAACAATTACAATAACCTGCTACTGCTGACATATGAGATAATATTTTGATTGTAGATAACCCCTCGTGTATCATACACGGTGGAGTGTTACTTCCCAGAGATCTAGAGAAAGTCTTCACAAATCTGAACTGACCGAATGCATTTACAGTGTTCAACTCTCCTATTTCACTTCCATATAGAAAGGTCTGCACAACCATTGCATCGTACAATTATATGTGAGTGAGCGAGTGAGTTTAGTTTTAGGCCGCACCCAGCAATATTCCAGCCATATGGCGCCGGTCTGTAAATAATCGAGGACCAAACAATCCAGTGGTCAACAGCAGGAGCATCGATCGACGCAATTGGGAACCGATGACAATTGTCAAACAAGTCGGCGAGTAGGGCCACCCGATCCTGTTAGTCGCCTCCTACAACAAGCATGGGTTACTGAAGATCAATTCTAACCCGGATCTTCACGGGTCAGAATTATATGTAACTTGTAATTGATAGGTTCTATGCCTTTCTTAAGACAAGCCTTACATACTCTATCGCATAATCAAACACACGAACTATCTGCTATTAATCGGGGATTCGGGTGACTTTAATAATTGATGAAATATACTATGTAGATATAGAAAGGCAAGCCCATTTGAACTTTAGTTATCCTGAAATGCTGAATCCTGGATACACAATAATATAATATCGCCGGAGTTGACTCAGTACGTACTGCTAGTTCAGGCTCCATTGCGAAATACTCAGCTAACAAAGAGCGTTTTCATGAAATCTAGTATGAGCAAGACGAAGAAGTTGTTCTTCCTCAGTGTGATAATATTACACAACTTGCCAATGATTTCAAGTCATTCTGTGAGAATAAAATTCTGGATATCAAGAAACTTCTCAGGGAATATCAACAGCCAGACATGGTGTTCGAGGAAACCTTGTTTGATGGCGTTCCTCTGAGGGAGTTCGCACTTTGAACTCCACAGGATGTTCTGAGTCTCATCAAATCATCCAACAAAACCACTTGACTGAATGATCCAATGCCAAGCAATCTTGTAGTTGATCATCTCGATCATTTACTTCCAGTTATAACCGACATTATTAATAAAAGTCTTTCATCCGGTGTTTTCCCTACATGTTTGAAAGATGCTATTGTTACTCCACTGTTAAAGAATTCCAAACTTGATACCAACATACTCAAGAACTATCGGCCAGTTTCAAACTTGACTTTTCTTTCAAACCTTGTGGAGAAAGCTGTTACCAGACAACTGATGAAGCATATCAACGTCCATGACTAAAGAGAGGGCACATATCCTTGTGTCTTCCCGCCTAGACTACTGCAATAGCCTTCTCACTGGAATATCCAAACATATGAAAAAACTCCAGAAAGTGCAGAATACAGCCGCTAGAATTATATCTTTGAGTTCTAAATATGATCATATAACCCCTGTGATAAAGTCTTTGCACTGGCTTCCTGTTCAATACCGAGTTGACTTCAAAGTTCTGTGTACAGTCTTTAAGTTTCTCAACAACCTTGTCCCTACATATCTCTCATCTCTCCTAACTCAGTATGTGCCTTCCAGAACTCTACGTTCCCAGGATAAACAGCTCTCAAAGTACCTCAAGCTCGGCTCACCTCTTTTGGAAAGAGGAGTTTTCAGCATGTCGCGCCTCTCTTATGGAACTCTCTACCACTCCAAATCAAACTCGCTCCGACCCTGGACTCTTTTAAGAAGTACCTAAAGACATTCCTTTTTACTAAAGCCTATAATGACATTTTCCCTTCTTTTGTAAATAGTTTTAGTGCGCCATGAGCATGCATGAGTGGGTGGACACTGGCGCTTTACAAATATCCACTATTATATTATTATTATGTCAATCACTGGACTGGTTGGTCCAAGTTCCAACATACAGCAGGACTATTCCCAATGCATGACAAGCATTTAAACTTGTGATGTATGAGTACATGTGATAAAGGTCTTCGACTTTCAAGTCGCCGAAGACCCGGGTTCGATTCCCCACATGCGTACAATGTGTGAAGCCCATTTCTGGTGTCCCCCGCCGTGATATCGCTGGAATATTGCTAAAAGTGGCGTAAAACCATACTCACTCAATCACTTAATCCTACACACCGAATCAATGTGGCCTTAATTACAAATATTTATGTTGCAGCTTACCTCCGCAGAATGACTGTCCGTCATTTCAAAGAACTATTGATATTGGCCACTGTGTGCTTTGGATATTACCTGGTACACTTCTGGTGGACGACGATGTCGTTGAAAGACGCACTGCGATGGTACTGCAAACTGCGACCGGAAGAGTACAGGGACCCCTATATAAATCTGCATCGTTATGAATACAATCTGTCACCTACAGTGTGCTCCCACCAAACCTTCAACATATTTATTGTTGTACAATCAGGACTGTCAAATACCAAACGCAGACAGGTGATCCGGGACAGCTACGGATCCGTCAGACGTTTCCACGGCATGTCTTTAGGTCTGGTGTTCCTACTTGGTAGTGTGGATGATTCAACCCTTCAAGGGAAGATCACCAAGGAGTTTGAAGATCACAATGACATAGTGCAAGGCAACGTGTATGATAATTACGCATTTCTCAATCAGAAACACATCATGGCTATGGACTGGTTCTTGAAGAACTGCCAGTCCGACTTTGTTGCTAAGCTGGACGATGACACGTTCCTGAATCCATTTCGTCTCGTGGATTACTTGTCAAGTTTGAGGAAACCTTTACCTAATATGATGTTCTGTAAAGTGATGAAAAATGAGATGCCAGTTCGTGAACCGACCTCAAAATGGCACACGCCATGGTACCAGTACCCATTTAAGAGATTTCCGCCATTTTGTTTAGGATTCGCTTATATAACAACGCCGAAGGTTTGGGCGACCCTGTATGAAGCTTCTAAAACTTACCGACAAATGGATATGGATGATGTTTATGTGAGTGCAGTGTTAGGAGCCTCCACAGATCTCTACCTGAAGGATATCGAAGACTTAATGTACGACTGCCTTCAACACCGATCGTCTGTGGATGTGGACTCATTACGAAGGTCTGTGCTGGTATTAGACAGGTGGAACAGCTGTGGGGACAAACCTTTTAAACACTGGGAGGGGATAAAACAGTAAAACAATGAGTGAGTTCCATAATACTGAATATAATTGTCATATATTCAAAATTTAACACCACAATTTGTTGTTTAGTGGGGGCGATGGGGTCGCTGGGGGATAAAGCGTTTGCTCGTCATTTAGAAGACCCGGTTTCAATTCCCCACATGGGTTCTTTGTGTGTGAAGCCCATTTGTGGATATTACTGGAATGTTGCTAAAAGCGGCCTAAACCCATACTCACTCACTCACTTGATGGTGTTTAGTGACGTGGTTTTGTTATAATCAGATGCGATCTTAAAGGGACACTGATCTGGAGCAATTAGTGTTTCGCGCCAACGACCTAACTTGGGCCGTAAGACAACGGCATATCAAGATCACAATGATTATACACATTTTGGTGACATGGCTGGTAGTCTGAATATAATACATATAACATACACATAATAAATAGTAGTATATAGTACCTTCTTTGACATAGAGGACTTACGTCTAAATTTTTACATAAAATAATAATATATAATTCACTTTCCCAGTGACTTGTACCTGGCCTTGACAGTGTTACAAAAAATACAAAGTTTTCGTAGTTGGCCAACTTTTTCGTTTAGAAAACAATTGACATGATTTAACAGATTGTGGCCTTTTGTAAAAGTAAGATTTAATAAATTGGTTTCTAGAATCGGCAAAATAGGGACATTCTAGAATTGCTTAATATTCATCACCTATAGAGGTATTTCAGAGAGTACATATACGCTCGTGTAAAGGTACACCATTCCAAAATCTGACCTCAACTGGTAGACAGTGATTAGATGTACGAAAAAGAAGCAAAATAATCCAGCAGTTTTGTGGTAAAATGCTTAAATAATTTTCAAATCCAAATTATGTTTTAAAAATCTGTTAATTTTGGGCCTTTAAGGAATCACATATCTGTGAACCAAGTCTGTACATACTGATCCTCTGGCCTTACTCTGATAATGTTTGTAAGATATGACGATGAAACATATTCCTAGTCATACCATTTCCTTGCTTATAGCAACCACCTTCTGCGTATAGCAGCAAAGCCTTTCATTGCCTATAGACACCACCTTCGGCGTAAAGCAGCAAAGCCTTTCATTGCTTATAGCAACCACCGTCTGCGTGTAGCAGCAAAGCCTTTCCTTGCTTATAGCAACCACCTTCTGCGTATAGCAGCAAAGCCTTTCCTTGCTTATAGCAACCACCTTCTGCGTATAGCAGCCAAACCTTTCCTTGCTTATAGCAACCACCTTCGGCGTATAGCAGCAAAGCCTTTCATTGCTTATAGCAAGCACCTTCGGCGTATAGCAGCAAAGCCATTCCTTGCTTATAGCAACCACCTTCTGCGTATAGCAGCAAAGCCTTTCCTTGCTTATAGCAACCACCTTCTGCGTATAGCAGCCAAACCTTTCCTTGCTTATAGCAACCACCTTCTGCGTATAGCAGCAAAACCTTTCCTTGCTTATAGCAACCACCTTCTGCGTATAGCAGCAAAACCTTTCCTTGCTTATAGCAACCACCTCCTGCGTATAGCAGCAAAACCTTTCCTTGCTTATAGCAACCACCTTCTGCGTATAGCAGCAAAACCTTTCCTTGCTTATAGCAACCACCTGCGTATAGCAGCAAAACCTTTCCTTGCTTATAGCAACCACCTGCGTATAGCAGTAAAACCTTTCCTTGCTTATAGCAACCACCTGCGTATAGCAGTAAAACCTTTCCTTGCTTATAGCAACCACCTGCGTATAGCAGTAAAACCTTTCCTTGCTTATAGCAACCACCTGCGTATAGCAGCAAAACCTTTCCTTTCCTTGCTTATAGCAACCACCTTCTGCGTATAGCAGCAAAGCCTTTCCTTGCTTATAGCAACCACCTTCTGCGTATAGCAGCAAAGCCTTTCCTTGCTTATAGCAACCACCTTCTGCGTATAGCAGCCAAACCTTTCCTTGCTTATAGCAACCACCTTCTGCGTATATAGCAGCAAAACCTTTCCTTGCTTATAGCAACCACCTTCTGCGTATAGCAACAAAGCCTTTCCTTGCTTATAGCAACCACCTTCTGCGTATAGCAGTAGCCAAACCTTTCCTTGCTTATAGCAACCACCTTCTGCGTATAGCAGCAAAGCCTTTCCTTGCTTATAGCAACCACCTTCTGCGTATAGCAGCAAAACCTTTCCTTGCTTATAGCAACCACCTTCTGCGTATAGCAGCAAAACCTTTCCTTGCTTATAGCAACCACCTTCTGCGTATAGCAGCAAAGCCTTTCATTGCTTATAGCAACCACCTTCTGCGTGTAGCAGCAAAGCCTTTCATTGCTTATGTCACGTTCCGTCGATAGGCATTTGAAACAAAACATTTTGTGAGTTGATGGCAAACATACTTTTCGCTATATATATACATATATGCTAGAGACGCCTTTAACGCTCAAGTAGTATCTTGTTTTCATGTTATGCGTCAACATCATTCGATAGATTATTAGACCTCATTCTCCCGTTTCACCAACAGTCGGCTGTCTTGTGGCTGGAGGAGGTACTGTCACATGTACTCATAGGGCACGTCTTTTACACGTCTTTTCAGTTCGTGTTTTATAACTGCTACTGCTACTCAAATATCACAATATGTCAATATGCGCAACTTTCTCTTTTGTTGTGAAAATTAGAGCTTTTCATTCACAGCTATCAGCACCATTTCTATTGCTCTCAGGCAAATTGTGTAAACTTACCTCTGAGTATCAACCGTCATACATCGCGCAGTACGTCTGGAAATATGTGTGGTGATAGTAGTTATTCTGTATAATTTATCCGACATGGAAGCTACTCCTTTATCTGCGCGTCAAGAATGACGTATACCATCCCATACGGGTTTAAAAGGTGAGCTCAGATGGTTCACACATGTCACTCCTGCACGAGTAGTCACTGCAAGCAGTTATAGCATGTCAGACTGGTGGGGCGTTATCAAAGCGGCTCTAGTGGCTGAAAACTCCCTGTTACAGTGTTCGCACACCATGATCCTGTACGAGCATCATGAATGGCTGAACAGCGAATCCCTACTACATCAACAACAGTCGCCGTTCAATCGAGCAAGTCTTCCTCCAAGTCTGTTCAATCCTCAATCAATAACAGACGATATAGGAGTGTTCAATCATGGACGAGCTGCATCAACCCCACAAAGACGACGTACGACCAATCAGGCAAACCAACCCTACACGACCAATCAGGCAAACAACCCTACACGACCAATCAGGCAAACAACCCTACACGACCAGCCAGCAAACCAACCCTACCAGCAGACAGAAAACCGAGAGAAGTCAGCGATTAACGTTTCCAACGACGACTGTACAGCCTATTCAGCAAATAACGTTGCCATCGACGACTGTACAGCCTATCGCTACGCACAATATTCCAAGGAAACGGAATAAAAAGGACAATGACCCGCGCAAGCGTAAACGACAGGATACAGGGGCATGGAACTGGACAAATTAGTTCGTGAATTATTAAATGAATAAAACTTGGTCCTTGAAGAAAATACAAACAAATTCTTGAGTTATTTGTTGGTTTTATTGCACGTGTCTCGATATCTATTATATATATAATATCTGACACTATTTTCGTTAGTACCACCAATGATAGGGACGAGGTTACACTGCCAGTCATCTTTAGAATGATGATTGCTGGTCCCAGAGGTGCTGGTAAAAGTACATTTGTTAAAAAATTATTGGAAAATGATATAAAAGGTCAATGGCTGCCAGATAATATCATATTGACTATTAGCGAATCTTAACATCTGTACACGGAGATTGCCTCGCTCTGTCACGAGGCGGGTATAGACATTCATTTTGAAATACACAATGCCATTTTTAAAAGGTGAGTCCCATCCGAGATTTGAACCCGACTTCCATTCTTTGTGGAAGTCGCGGTGGCTGAGCGGTCTGGGCGTCTGACTTTGTGTGCTGGCGATTAGGTGCCTGACTCTGAGGGTGTGGAATCGAATCCCCGGATGGGACTCAAAAAAAGTACCCCCCCAAAAAGTACTAGAATCTGTACTTTACTGAGAAAGTGTAATCCCAAATATAACATATGTGACATTCATTTTGTAAAGAGTAAATGGACGCCGAAACATTGATCAACCCCTCGGTTATTAATTGGTTAGTAATAGATGGCGCCTCAGGGGATATGAATGGTGAAGAAGAAAGGGACTTGTTACGGTGGTTTGTTAAACGTTCTCATCACAGACAGACAAGTGTTTTATACAGCAGAATGTATACGTATTAGTCAGAACTCCTCTTCACCGAACTATAAATCTTAATTGTACACATTTAGTGATTTACAAAAATCCTCGAGATAAGACTCAAATAGAACAGTTAGCTAAACAAATGTTTCCGGGGTGGGGTTAAAATTTATAAGGGACGCCTACCAGAATGCCACGGCCGCCCCGCATACGTATTTAATGCTTGAAAATGAGCCCCAGCACGTCTGATGGTCTTAGAGTTCGAGCCAACTTGTTTGACAGGCCTCTTGGAGAAATAGACGTGTACGTGCCTAAGAAGAATGAACCCCGTTAACCTCATGGAATGTACTCCCGTATGTGATTGGGACAGCTCCTCTGACGAACACAGCAGCGACTCTACCGAGGAATCTGATATTGACAACTCAGAGGAAGAAGAGGAGATAGAGGAAAAGGAAGCCCCCCTTTACAAAACTGTGACGCGGCCTAATAACAAATCATTCCCTTGCATACCCCCGTCGAGGACGTGGTTGCACAACTCAACGATATGACGTGTAAGAATATAGTAAAGCGTAATGCAGACATATAACATTATTTATGCAGAGCGACACCATCTGTTAGAGCCAAAATAATAGCTTCCTATCCAAAGATGTATTAGACGCTTTTAGCGAAACAGCCGTTAATATTTACGCCGGGAATGCACCTAAGACTCCGTTTCAACGAAAAAGGTTAAACTCTCGTAGAGGTAAATTACATGCATTGTGTCAAAACTCTTCAGTGTCATGCGCCGTCAAGAAGCAAGTTTTGACTCAAACAGTTGGCTTATTACCCCTACTCAT